CCATACATATATACATACATACATACATACACACACACACATACACACACACACACACACACACAAACACACACACACGCACACGCACACACACACACACACACACATATATATATATATTTATACATACACACACACACACATATATATATATATATATATGTACGTATGCATATACATATACATTTACATTTACATATATGTTTACCTATATATATACATATACATACACATATACATATACTTGTACATATATGGTGTATTTTTTTTCTCTTCTTCAATGCAATGATTGTATTGACACATAGATAATTGAATGTAGGTGTCTTATGGTGCAATATATAGGTTGCGAAGAGGATTATTGGTTGTGTGTACATTTGTGGGGGGTGAGCACTATATATAGTACCATTCCAGACTTTGAGGTCAAATACGAGTACCTTACGTGGATCGATCTGGACCCATCTATGCTGTACATATTCATCACGAGCTCTGTAAAGTAAAGATGAAAGTATCTGAAATGCTCTGCTTTAATACCTGCTTCATTGAAAGTGCATCAATGCCCCATATTACAGCACAAATTATACCATAAGCGTTACCTCATATACTTCGCAACCCACTTTATCAGCCCACTGCATATCTCTGTGCAAATCGCATGGAGTTGTCACTCATGTGCCCAAATTAGCATGTTGGCGGACAAAGCAGTAGGCACGAGATGCAGATACAGATAGGTTTTAGGGATTTTATGGTATATCTATTTATTGTCCGGGCTCGGAACATGTTTCCCAAGCAGTGTAGATCTGAATGCACATTTGTGTGCGGTCATGTTGCCGTACTTAACCTATGTACCATATACCTGTTGTGTTGACATGTTTGCCATATTTATCCTATGTTTCATATACCTGTTCTGTTGTCATGTTGGCATACTTAGCCTATGTATCATGCGCCTGTTGTGTTGTCATGTTGCCATACTTAGCATATGTTCCATATACCTGCTGTGGTGTCATGTTCTATGTTCCATATACCTGTTCTGTTGTCATGTTACCATACTTAGCCTATGTATCCTATGCCTGTTGTATTGTCATGTGGACCTACTTAACCTATGCACCATATTCCTGATGTATTGTCATATTGCCATACTTAACATATGTACCATAAGCCTGTTGCATGCCGACGCCACGACAATCAGCACGGACAGGCACCAATAGGATAGGGATCTTGATACTAACTAGCCACGCCTCGCCAAAGACCAGTACGCGTTTAATACGCATCCACCATCAACCTAAAAGTTAGGGTTTGTTGTGATCAAGGCCCACATCAATACTTTATAATACCGTCAAGTAAAATCGAGATTCCAGGTCACCGACGGTCCCTTTCCGAAAATTTTAGGTCACCAACAAACCTCTCCCGAATACTCCAGGACACCAACAGTCCCTTCCCAAATATCCAAGTCACCAACAGACCCCTCCCCAAAATTCCAGGTCACCAACAGACCCCTCCCCAAAATTCCAGGTCACCAACAGACCCCTCCCCAAAATTCCAGGTCACCAACAGACCCCTCCCATATCTACCTCCGCATCCGCTTGAGCTCTTCATCGTTATGTTTCATGTGCTTGTTGTGCATACTAGTATTCTTGGCGGCCATAGTATACAGCAGATCCGTGCGGATGACAAACTTGTTACCTGTGAACACAGAGCTACCCTCGTGTACCAGACTGTCGGATGTATCACCGTGGGGGAACACTAACACACTGCCCGTGCGCGGGGCCACTCCGCGTGCGTCTAAACTGCCCAGTACCGGACCTGCGCAGCAAGGTGATTGCGCATGCATGAGTCGACTTGGGATGAATTGATTGTGTACACGCATGGATGCTTGCGTCGAGGTACGAAGACTGGTGTGTGTTTAGGTATAGCGAATGGAATTTATAAGCAGTGGCAGGTGTCAGATGTGTCTCGTCTACGATGAACAATCAGCCAAGTGTAAGAATACCAACGCACTGGCAATGCGCGGACGCATACTACGCGTGACTAAGCTGTTTCAAGTACCGAACTTCAGAGCAGTAGACTGATTTGAGATTAGTATACAATGAAAGCGATGGGGTCTGATTAAATAGTTCCATACATCAGCGGGTGCGATTGGAATGGCAAGCTTGGACATTGCATACGAGGAGTGATACCAATTATAGGCTAGTGTTGTAGGTAAAGTACAACCATCAACTCGCATCCAGTGCGGACCCACACTATATCTACACTGCAAGTGGGACCTGTAAACTGTATTTAAGCAGGACAAAGGTCGATTTGGATTGATCACCTATTCGCGCTCATACGAAGAACTGATTCCATACGATAGTCATATATGTAGGTACGCTCTATGTATACCTACACATACACATAACAAGCGCACATCGGTGGTAGCTAATCATTCGCCAGGCCAAACATACCAGGTAGGTAGAAGGTTGTATCTCCTCCTTCAAAGTCGTCGTTCAAATATATCAGAAACGTCATCTTCGACCATTGGTTGCCGAATGCGTCGTACTGGTACTCGCCATCCACAATCCCACTACCCGGCCAGGCACCGTCGACATGTGGTCCGTACAGATTCCCCGGGACGTATCTGTAGCATCTGAATCTCGCGTTGATGCCCGACACTTTGCACTCGCCAATAGACTGTACAACAAACGAACGCGTTAACAATATTCAGTGACGAATAAAGACCACAACAGATTACATCAGGAACAGTACTGATGCAATCGACGCAAAAGCATATACACCTTGTCCCCCGGGGAAAATGCATAAACCCTGACCTCCTTCACTAGAATAGGACCGGTCTCCGAAACACCGCGATGCCACCAGCCCAGCCCACCCGAGCCCACTCATTCTCTCCCAATTCATCAGGGCCAGACATAGAACCAGGCCACATCCGCTACCCCACACGCATACATATATACATTCATACATGCATATATACATTGATACACTACACATACATGCCACATTGATACACTACAAATACATGCATATTTACATTCATACACTACACACACATGCATATATACATTCATACACTACACATACATGCATATACACATTCATACACTACACATACACGCCCGCTCACGCACATCAACTATCAAGGGGAACATGAAGGGGAACACCCAACTCACCTCATCCACCAGACCCTTCACTCGATCGAATATGGTCTCCACTACGCATACATGTAAATATACACTCATACACTACACATATATGCATATATACATTCATACACTACACAAACATGCATATATACACTCATACGCTACACATACACGCCCGCTCACGCACATCAACTATCAAGGGGAACATGAAGGGGAACACCCAACTCACCTCATCCACCAGACCCTTCACTCGATCGAATATGGTCTCCACCACATCCCGTCCCGCCAGCCACACACACGCCTGCGCCCTCCCTTCACGTGCTACACCGTCTTCTAAACTCTGACTCCCACCAATCGGCTCGTCGGGATCGTATCCCATGTTGTGAGTCAGGCTGAGTATCTGCGCACACTCATTGGGCGACAGCACGCTGTCCAATAAGAAGGCTTTGTCCACAAACTCCACGTTGTGTCTCGTGGTGCACTGTGTAGGTAGATGGTAAGCGTGTTAGTACTACACTACAGTTGAGCCTCAACTAGGCCTTTAAATAGCCCACATTGGGCCCCGCTTCAAGGGTATATCCAATCATCTGCGCGCATTCGTCGTGCACTCAGCAGTTTCCCTCGCACTGTCACTTACCGGTGGTGTGGCATCCCAGTGTAGCTTAGCCGCATCCTGCCATATCCTGAGATCGTACCGATTAGGGGGTCGACGCTCAGCCGCCTTCTCAAACGCAACCACAGAGGGTTGCCACTTCTTGGCGTTTGATGGTGATGTGGTCTCAGCAGTGGATTCAGCCGAGTGTTCATTTGCGGCCGTGATTGGCTCGGTAACGGTGGGGGAAGGGCTGTTCAAAGAATTGTAAAACAATGCATGGGGTTGGTTGGGATTACAAAACAATGCGTGGGATGTGAAACTGCCTCCTGATTCAACCTAATAAAACGCGGGGATCATTCTCCGGGAAGCAAGGATACTACTACCAACACCTCAACTACCACCACAGCAACCGTATATACAGCATAAATATGCACACAACTGATGTGCACACTCAGGAATGGAGTACAGTTACTAACCTTCGGGTGTGTGTAGGGGTAGCCAAATACTCGGCCGGTGTGACGGTGGGTTTCTGCGCAGGCTTGTCTGTGGGAACCCAGGATGGGTGTCGGATGACAGTCCCTACTGCCACTTCTTTATCTGAACAGTGTGTATCGAAATATCGAGTAAAATATAAGTATATATACACGTTGGTGTAATGTATTGAGAAAACGCAAACAGACACAAAGACACAGACACATACGCATTACATTGCATATGTATATTTTTCATATGCAGCACGATTATAGATATAGCCTCGTGGATTCTATTGTCACAGGCTTCAAGAGTCAACTTCGAGCGCAGACATACACCTTGCAGCAAGCAGAAGGGCTTATTTACACCCAAAATAGAGTCCCACTTTGCATCCCCCAGACCAATAAGATAGAAACATTTAACAAGCAGTTGGCACAATATCTAAACATGTACACAAACACTCAAACCCGTAGATTTATGTATAGGTTTATACATATGAGTGCACAGAGGTACAGATAGAACCACAAACGTAAGGCTAACGATGTCTATATTTGCATAGTATCATCAAATGAAGTATCGGAATTATAACAACAGACGTACCATCGGGTCGAACCTTATCCCATTCAGCGTTCGCTACTCGGAGAATGGCATCCAGAACCTTCACTGTGGTTGCATCTGTGAGCTTTGGACACACAATCAGTGCGTCACGCACCCACCTCTGTGCATATAACACACAAGCAAAGCAGGAGATCAGTACAGCACTGTTTCTTATACCTATCGCAGGCTATGTATTAAGTTTAAGTGATAAAAATACTGACACGTGCTCGTACATGTGAGTCTAAGAGTGTATATTCGAAAGCTATCGCGTACAGATCCATGTGCCAGAAAGCGATACAAAACAAAGACATCCCGTACTTGTTAACAAGAGCTTCTCCATAGAAAGAAATCATAAGTACACGCGCTCAGGATGTGCCTGATTCTTACACAGACAGGTGTACCGTTCTGCATGAAACGATAGAAAAAACCGAGCCCGCAACGACAATACCGGTACAAAAAAAAAGAATTCGGTAGCACACTTCCCAATTCCAAGACGAATTTAAAAAAACGCCGAAGATCCACATACAGCTTCTATTTATACGTCAGTAACATAGAAATTGCAAAAATATTAACCGCATCTGCCGTGATCCGAATTTGCTGTGCAGAGATTTTGGCAAAGCCAAAGCTAAAGCCAAACGTTTACAAGCCAAACAATTTAAAACCAAACGTTTACAAGCCAAACATTCAAAAGCTCATTTACAAGCCAAACATTTAAAAGCCAAACATTTACAAACCAAACATTTAAAAGCCAAACATTTCAAAGCCAAACATTTACAAACCAAACATTTCAAAGCCAAACATTTACAAACCAAACATTTACAAGCCAAACATTTACAAGCCAGAAGTTTACAAGTCAAACATTTACAAGCTAAACATTTACAAACCAAACATTTCAAAGCCAAACATTTACAAGCCAAACATTTACAGGCCAAACATTTACAAGCCAGAAGTTTACAAGTCAAACATTTACAAGCCAAACATTTACAAGTCAAACAATTATAAGCCAAACATTTACAAGCCAAACATTCACAAGTCAAACCGCATGAGGAAACATGCGATTGTTCCAGCAGGAACTATCCGACCGCTAACAGGCGTAAGTATTGACAAGGAAGAATTCACGGGGTTATTAGTGTCTGTAAACAAACAACAAACAACAAAAGACATGAATGAACAGATCGAGGGATGACGACCACTCTACTGTCCCCATCCGAAGTTCAATGGGGAAAACTGGTAGATGTGTGTGTATGGCATATAAGTGCTACATCTATACCGTTCCATGTTTAACGGTAATGGGTTGCAAGTACTATACCAACACTGCTTCAAGTTTAACGTAAATGGTGTGTAATGACTATACCTGCACTGTCCCAAGTTTAACGGCGTGGCCGCTACCTCGCAAACCCTCCAGCAGAAGCAGAGCATCGGTCCACTTCTCCTCCTTAAGAGCATCGGATATACGTTTAAACGCACTGCACAAACGGGTACAAGGAGTGAGTGAGTCTCTCCTCCCGGGTGGCCATACAAATGAGGAGAGTGTCTATATAATAGGCAATAGAGTTTTGGTAAAAACTAGCCGTTCCCCTGAGTCCCTCATCTCGAATGTATTCATCATCGCTGACTAAGCGTACCATTGAACGTACGTATACTATGTGTACCACGACCGCAGCGAGCCCATATGTAGCCCTACCGTGTTGATACCTCCTGGACATCTACACCACACCAATGTGTTCAGATGGGGATAACAACTAAACAAATAACAACTAACGCCTAACAAATAAAAAAATAACAAATAACAAATAACAACAAACACGGCACAGGCGACGCACGCACACTCACACCACACATGTGTAACCGACTGGACTACTCATGCACAGTAACCGGCTGATCTGCCCATACACACCTGTTAGAGGCACCAGCCTTAGACTGGTAGTACTCAGTCAGCGGATGGAGCAGTTTGCGCAGCGGACGCAAACGTTCGGAACCGAATAGGGCTCTGAGAAGTAGTGGCACGCAGGAAAGTGAGGGATGAGAATGAATCGTATGGATACTAGTTATAGTGGTCTAGATAGACATGCTGTGGTTAAACAGATAGACATACTATGGCCAAACAGAAATAGGCACAGATTTGCCATCGTCACTGCTGTGACTAAGCCCGGCATAACGCAAACCGGCGGATACTTGGTTCGAAACAATCGATCCTAATTCTCGGTTCATTCGCCATAGAGGGGAGACTGGCACACTCTTCAATAATTGCACACTACCGTGTTTGACTGTATTGTGGGTCAAACACCCCGATGGTCTGAACACGTAGAAACACTGCATATGAAAAAATTGAATTGCAAATGTAAATAGAATATCTCACAACGCTATTGCACATGAAAACCTTAATTGCATATAGAGATAGAATATCTCACAACGCTAAAACCTTAATTGCATATATAGATAGAATATCTCACAACGCTACTGCATATAAAAACCTCATTTGCAAATATATATAGAATATCTCACAACGCTACTGCATATGAAAACCTTAATTGCAAATATAAATAGAATATCTGACAACGCTACTGCATATGAAAACCTCAATTGTAAATATAAATAGAATATCTGACAACGCTACTGCATATGAAAACCTCAATTGTAAATATAAATAGAATATCTGACAACGCTACTGCATATAAAAACCTTAATTGCAAATATAAATAGAATATCTGACAACGCTACTGCATATGGAAAGCTTAATTGCATGTATAAATTGTATATCTCACAGCGCCATTGCGTACGAGAAAAGACCCAAGGACCCGTACAGTTGCTGCGTGTAGCAGCCCGTTACGATGAATGCGTTTTGTACTGCCTATACCAACCGTACACGCAGTGTCCTTGCTTTTGGATGGTTGACATGCCGTTCAAACATAAATGACGGGCGCTCAGCACACGTTGCAAGCCATGTACGCATGTTCTATATGAATGTGTACACCCGTGCAATACACCCATGCAATGACCTTCGTCCCCAGTGAGTGTAGTTTCCACAGTGAGAGTGTAGTCAAGCAGCTTTGCTCGTATAAACTAGCCTACACTATTCCGAGAAAGGGTGCGACACACACACCTGTCCGTTACGAGCAGTTCCAAGGTACGTAAGGTGCTCTGGAGGTCTTCTCGACTGATGGGGAATCCATCGTAGTCGTCCTCCTGCGCCATAGGCACAGTATGAGAGGCGGCTGCCTTGGTTTCTATCTCTGAGGCATGATCTGGGTGGAATGTATATCAGTCAGGTCATTTGAATAAGCATCGGCTGTGTACCTCACACCGTAATATGTGTGGATTTGAATTAATATCGGATGATAGCCGAGATTACAGAGGAAAGGAGACGAGGATAAGATGAAAGAGTGTTGTATAAACGGGTGACACGTGACTGAGGCATACAATGCAGCTAATGCCTACGTACACCAGATAGATGAAGTACGACCACTGACATGGCGCCATGCGTCACTATAAGCACACCATATAGGAAGACTTATCATACTTCCACATAAGACTTGCTATACTTCCACAGAAGAATTCCTATAATTCCACACAGTAAGGATGTGAATGGGACAGTCAAAGTCGCAGGCTGTAATATCCGCGACGGCCGACGTGGTATAGCACACCCGTATGTGGTGCCTTGCAGTTCTACATGAATAACTTGCGCGGACCAACTTATGATCTACACGCCATGGAGAGCGCATACTACGCTGACAGCCAGATCAACAAGAGGCGTTGACACAGGAAGTAGAAAGAGTCAGCGCCATGACAACGCCTCACACTGAATAACCAGGACTTTAGCGACATGTCTTGTGTTCAAACGTACACTGAGCGTTGTACGTTAGATATTCCGACGGACTGGTCCGAAAAAGCCCCCAGCAGTACAATACGACATGCGGAATTACAAGACATACTTCTAGTTCTGGCTATATCTGTTGTATAACTGTGCAGATTCCTAGAATGTACATCGTAGTCCCTCCTAGATAGAAGTGGATACTCATACATATGCGTCGACCATCAGATGTTCAACTCTGAATGGCGGCTACAGAAACAACCACTCGCGTGGATATAATGTACTAGGGGTACGGCTGTCAGTTCGTATACAGATACAGATGCACACGCACCGGCATACAGTAATAAGAAAGGATACTATCACCTGCTATCATCTGACACATGCACGATCAAACCAACTGTGACAGCCTATCCCATTAGTCTTTCTCTCAGCAGCTTCCGATCCATTGAGTATATAAGCTCACATACACATACTTTCCGATCCGTTGAGTATATAAAGCTCACCTACATATACTTGTTTTAAATCAGCTATAAACCAATACACATCATTCCCATCAATTTCGACCATGTATATATATGAATCACATACACACGCACACACATACTTGTTTTCGCACGTTTGTTGGCAGTTCTCTCCATTTCAGCCATTTGCTGACGACGCTTGGCAGCTTTCTTCGCTGTCTTCCCCATTCTGGATAGTATGTACTAATTACAGTCGGTAGACAAATATATCGATCAACAGTCGATTAGTCTATTTGCAGCGTGTGTGATACACCTGTCACACCACTCGTGGGCTAATTGCGACCTGTACGTGTATGCTTACAACAGTGTGTGGATTGTTCATACATATACATCATCCTTCCATACTTAGACCCATCCTTCCATACTTAGACCCATACAAAGAGTGTGAGAGGCCATACATAATAAAATGCACACAGCCATACACAAGTCAATACAAAATACATATGTACACAAATTACAATATGTATTAAATTTCGCTCTTTGCTCTTTTCCATTTCCTCTACTCCGCGTCATGTGTGTCATCAATTTTATCCCAATCAATTTTCTTCAGAAAATTCACACAAATTACCTTGGCACTCTCTGCCACTGGTCAGTGGTCTCTGGCCGCTGGTGGCTTGAGACAGGTCCCTGTGTCTCGTTAATCCTGACCTCTCTCATCTCTGGATAGTGGATAGTGGTCATACTGCATACTAGACTATTTACTTAAGAGTACAGCATTCTATCTGAAAAAAATATCCAGAGCCAGAGGGCCATGACTGTGAATATATTTTTCCTAAAAAGAGATACAAAAAGGAACCCCACAAAACAATAATCATGTCGTTCTCCGTAGCGCTCGGTGCTTTGAGGCGACTCACCAGGGACACTATACACAGACGAACCTTACTTCTTACACCTACGTATATAGCGAAGTCAAAATATTCAGCAAATAATGTATTGAGCCCCAGGCCTGCGCTTCCGATGTTTGCGAGGTATGTGCCTATATAAGCTCTTGAAAAATCTGTCACGTGCGATTCCGTCTGTTGGAGTGATTGATGTTGCGCCTGGCTGCAGGAAGTATTCTCACAATGTTTTCATATATATGTGTGGATATAAAACACACACACGCGCGCACACACACACACATACGC